GTCGATATATATATATATATATATATATATATATATATATATATATATATTAAGACATTTTTATGTTTATACATTCTTTTATAGATACTAATATTTAAATAAATGTTCTGTTTATAATAAACAGTATTAAACAACATTTACCGCCCTGAATGTCCGAGAAATCTTCACAGAAAGTATTCGTCCTCCTCATTTAGCTTGACGTGCCTTAACCGATTTGGCTACAGAGGAGCGTTCGGTTAGCAAGGTTGAATTTACTGTCTTTAAACTTCAAACTTTCATGTAGTCAAATCGGTTAAGGCACGTTAATCTAAATGACGGTTCCGTATAGGATACTGGTTCGATTCCTGTCAGAGGACGAATATTTTCTGTGAAGATTTCTCGGACATTCAGGCCGGTAAATGTTATTTAATACTATTTAAATATTTGTATCTATAAAAGAACGTATAAACGTTTTCGGACTGTGTCCATTTCATAATATATATATATATATATATATATATATATATATATATATATAGAGAGAGAGAGAGAGAGAGAGAGCGAGAGGGAGAGAGAGAGAGAGAGGATAGAGGCGCGCTGCGGTAAAGTAATGGATAGCGGCTCGCACTGAAGAATCAAAGTTCGAATTCTAGTCGGGTTCATTCACTTACGGGCTAATACCCTTGGAAATGTTATGAATCCATCTCTTTCCCTAGCTTTGGGTTCTATAGGACTTGGGTTGCGAACAATTTCAGAGAACTATAAATTCAAATCCCGCGAAGGGTCTTTTGTCGATATTGTGGTATACTGTGCACCAGGCCTCTATATTCAGCTCTTACAAAAAGTGTGGTTGGTTCTGCACAAGCCTTCGCCACTATAATCAAATGATATGTGCTGGTAGTCTAGCTGTTAGTTTTGAGAACTTAACTCATGCGTCGAAAACGACGGCAAACTCAGTATATATATATATATATATATATATATATATATATATATATATATATATATATATATATATAATTGAAGACTCTGTTTCATGCTCATAAGAAATATGGGTTGTGATTTTTCTGGACTATTTATATATACAGGTCCGCCAAGAATAGTTGCACTGAGGACATGACACAAATAATAATAATTAGGACAGTAAAACAATTCACAAACCACCCGCGCAATGCAAACCCACATGTGACTACAGAACGAATGTACCTTAAATGGCAACTGCTTTCAGAACAATGTAATATACCAAGCCACTGTAAAATTAACAGATAACGAAAAAAATATCCATAGGTGTAACTGAAAGACCCTGGAAACAAAGAAACTATGCACTCAAAATTTCGTTCGCGAATAGTAAATACGCGAACAGCACAATGCTTTGTAAATATTGCTGGGAGATTAAAAACAAAAACAAAGCCACGCCAAAAATATTGTTATACATGTGTATATATGTCGCCGTGGGTGTTGAGTTCAATGTTCACTTATATATTTACATACGCTATATCCCTGATACGGAGGACTTTAACTCATAAATATAGTACACCTTAAAACTATGTTTTATCATATATATATATATATATATATATATATATATATATCCTATGAAAATATATTTCTAAAATTTAGCTTGAAGATGAAACGGGACTAAACACCTCAATTCAACTTAATTTTAATAATTATTTAGATGGTTTCGGCTCTCGTTTTTAAAACATGAGAACAAAAAAATTATAATATATATATATATACATATATATATATATATATATATATATATATTATGCTTGTGCGTGTATCTATGTATGAAAATATTATCGTTTTAATGTATGCCATAATTATTGGTAAACATGCTCAATATCAGGGATAAAGTGTGCGTAAATATAAAAGTGAACACTCGGGCGAACACTGACTTCAAGCCCTGTAAATATATATATGTTCTGTGATTTGCTGTGAACACCGGCTTCCTCGGAACAAGGTAATGTGAATTATTTGAAAGAGAGAAACTGTTGGCTAACCACCATTTACGTAGTGCTTTTTCGGATCTTCAGTTTTTCTTGGTAACCCGAGGAACAAAAGAAAAACGTTGAAAACCTCTAAATTCTAAAATTTGGTATTTGTAAAACTCGTCAGCGATGGTCATACTCGTACAACAAGTCAAGACCCATTATATATATATATATATATATATATATATATATATATATATATATGTGTGTGTGTGTGTGTGTGTGTGTAAGTTTGTATCTGGATATATATATATATACGTGTAATAATATATACGATTTTCTGTATATGCAGATAACAATATCTCCAAGCTAATATGTATTGATATATATGTATATATGTGTAATTTAGCTTGCACTTACAATCATGTATACACCATATGTAATTCACACACGCATATATATATATATATGTGTGTGTGTGTGTGTGTGTGTGTGCGCGCGCGCGTGTCGATGTGTTCGTTCGCTTATCTCTTTGTTCTTTGAATCACAATGTCGACTAAACTACAAAAGGAAACCTGACGAGATTAAAAGTCCAGAAATAAAATAAAATGATGCATCAAAGTATTGATTCGACAAATTGAATCCCTCGGCTAAAAGTGTCATGGTGCTGGGAAGGAGGCAGAACAGGCAAGTCATTTGACGCGGCCAGTTTTTAAAAGTAGAAATAGCTGCGCAGTTCAAGGAGGACTAACGCTAATCGAATGTAGTTGGCTTGTTTCGCATTTCGATGGCTTGCAAAATAAATTGAAATTCCCAGTGCAAAGTTTACAAAAGCCACATTTTAAGATTCACCTTAATTCCATAGAAAAATTTATCTCTAAATTATTTAAGTACAACAGACCCGCGTGTCGAATTCAATTCGCGACGGCTTTGAATCTGCTTGTAAGTTCTGTAATATTTCGGCTTTCTAACGATCAAAGTCCCACGGCGAGGTTCTGTGTTTATGCCTAAGTAATGCTTCAATATAACTCAATATGAAAGATGGAGAGAAAAAAATATGAGTGGGTAAGTAGATAGATAGGTTGGGAAAAGCAAGAATGGGAATAGGAAGGAAAGGAAAGCTATGGTTTTTACTTATATGTATGGAATGTTTTAAATTATATATTAAATCAATACGAAGTCGAACGAAAAGTTAGAAGGGTGGGAATAAGGTAAGAGTTTAGGATGAAAATGATGTCTGAAAGAAAGAAAGAATACGTTTAGAAGACTTTAAAATAAGGTCTAAATGAAGGAATGAACGATTTGACAGAAGAACGAATGAAAAAAATTTAGGGGTATGTTAGGAGACAATTGACGGAAGTGGGGGAAGAGGAATAGTAGGAGGAGGAGTTGAAGCGAAAGAGGAGGCAGGAGGATGGGGGAGTACGCTAGACAATGAGATGAATGACAACATATGATAGAAGAAAAAAGAAAAAGAAATAAAGAGAAAGGGGTTAGAAGAAGAATGAAGACATAATAGAAGAAGAAGAAGAAGAAGAAGAAGAAGAAGAAGAAATGGTAAGGAAGAAGAGACGATGAGCACGAAGCAAGACAATGAAGAAGTTGATGAGATAGGCGACAGTGAGAAGGACGCGTTTTACAAAAGAAGACGAAGAGAAGAGAAGAAGAATTATAAGGAAAAAGAGATAGAGATAAAGTCAAAACAATGAAGAGAAAGACGATGAGATGTGCGATTACGCTGAGTACACTGTATGATAAGAGATAATGCTAGTTACAAATTAAAAGAAAAAAAAAGCAAAAGATGCCTTTCTAAAGCTAAACAAAGTATGAAGAAACCAGAAAAAAAGAAAAGCGAATTGAATTATTACGTATTATTTGTACTTCGATATAACAGTGAATTCTGAACAATCAAACCATAGATGAAGAAGACACTTGAGGAAACAGAAAAGATTCTACAGAAGGATTTTTTAAAATCATTTCAACCCAAGCAAAACAATAAAACTATTTCTGACGCAAGGGGTTACTGCATGTTAGAAAATATGAGAGAAACATTATTAAGGAGAGAGAACAATATAAGAACAGGAATTAAGAAAACAGAAGATAACAATTGTCATTACATTTAAATTTTTGAATAACAAATGTGCTGAAAATATATTGGACTACAGAAGGATGATCAGGAAAGAGGGTTTAGAAAATTTAACACTCACAAGACATATTGAAGAATCAGAAATATGATTCAACCAAGTAAAAAGAAAAGAGTGCTTCACTCAGTTATGTGCCATGTATGATACACGCTTAGGTGATCATGTATCTTTCCATACATGACTGACGAGGCAGATTCTTTCCCGCAGTTGGTTGCCATTTCTTTCTACGGTAGAGCAGTGGCCATCCAAGGCTAGAGAACCCGATGTGTCCTGCTATTTACACATAGATGGAGTGAGAAGAGGATTCATACCTTTCCCAAGGGTATTAGCACGTAAGTGAATGTAATGTATTCGACTGGAATTCGAACTCGGCTCTCTGATTCCTCAATCCGAGCCGCTATCCATTACTTCACCGTGCAAGATACGTTGATCGCAACGGAAGTAGAAGCACTTTACACATTCGAACAAGGAGATGATAAATGGGTGGGGGGGTGGTAGGGAGTTTACTTAGATTGAATAATTGATTTGTTTTTTATGGCTTATCAACCCTTAGCATTTTATTTTATACTAGAAAATATTTTTACATTGTAACAATTTTTTGGAGATAATAATGGGTTAGTGATACAAGTCTTACTAATTAACCCACAGCTGGAGGGAGATGTGGTGGATTCATACCTTTCTCAAGGGTATTTGCGCTGAAACGAATATAACGAATCCCACCGGAATTGGAACTCCGCTTCTCCGATTAACAATTCCGAGCCATTATCCATTACATCACCCACACAACTAAGCTTACATCACCTGGTATTTAAACCGGTCACCCATCTAAGTACTAACCAAGTTCGACGTTGCTTAACTTCGGGGATCTCTTCAAATTGGAACTCAGCTCTCCGATTAACAATTATTTGCCATTATCCATTACACGACTCGCACATCAAAGCTTACATCATCTGATATTCCCAAGCGGTCACCCATCTAAGTACTGACCAAGCTCGATGTTGCTTAACTTCGCGGATCTCTTCAAACTGGAACCCAGCTCTCCGATTAACAATTCCGAGCCATTATTCATTACATCACCCACGCAACTAAGCTTACATCACCTGGTATTTAAACCGGTCACCCATCTAGCTACTGACCAGGCTCGACGTTGATCGGTGATCAGTGGAAGTAAATGCAATTTTATCAGAGATGAAGAGGAGCCTTGTGACCTGGTTCTACAGAAGGATACTGAGAATACCATGGACAGAACGTGTGAGCCATGAGGACGTTTTTAGAGAAATGTGAATGAAAATGACACTTGCGCTGATGATCAAATAAGAAAGTTGAATTAAGAGAAAAGCGGGCTTGGAGAATTTGACACTTACAGGATATATTGACTGTAAGAGATGAAGAGGGAAACAGAGTAACCTACTTGTGTAAATGGATGGCAGTGTGGAGACGTGGTGATATTGAGGTAAAAACAGTGCTCAAGATAAAAAGTTGAAAATTCTGGGGTTCATAAAGAGGAAAGTGGTCTTCGAGAATTGGACACTCACAGGGCAGCTGTTAAAAATTTCTTAGTACTGAACACATGAACAATTATTATCACACACGACTTTTTTCTTTTTTTTTTAAGCGTTTCACCCCCAAGCAAGGCGAGAAGCCACTAGGACGAAGGGGTTACAAACGATCAGATAGGAATGATAGAAGAAAGGATGAGGAGGAGGGTAATGGAAAGATCAAAGCAACTAGAGATGTTGATTGACATTACATTTGAATCGCTGGAGATTATAGCTATCAGGGAAACAGGAATAGGGAAGGGAGTTCCACAGGCGAGAGGTGCGAGACATAAAGCTATTGGAGTAGAAGAGACGGCTACATTTAGGAGTTTCGACAGTGACGGGGTGAGAGCGGGATGCCAGCCTCGTAGGGCGCTTGAACTCATGAAGTCTGGGAACCAGCGAATTCAGCTCCTCGGAGAAATTGCCATGAAAGTATTTGTAAAACAGACAGAGAGAGGCGGCGGCGCGTCTGTGAGAGAGCGACTGTAGACGAGATGCCAGATCAGGGCCAATTATATTGCATATCCGCCTCTGGAGCCTATCAAGAACCCCGAGGCAAACAGAAGGGGCTCCAGACCATATATGGCAGCAATATTCCATGCAAGGGCGAATTGTTGATTTGTAGATCTGGAGGATCGATTCAGGGGAGAAAAATTTCCTGGCGCGGCACAGGGAGCCAACTTTCCTTGCGGTGGATGGTTGACTCAATATATTTGTTCCATCTCAGGTCAGCAGTCAACGTGAGACCGAACAGCCGCAGAGAGTTGCTCTCGAAAAGTTGAGCGTCAGACATTCTAAATGAGGACAGGGGCAGGATCTCTGTGGTGATTATTAGAGAGCAGTTTTGTTTTTGAAGCATTAAAGTTGACCAGCCAATTCCTGCCCCATTTCACAAGGGACACTGCATATAAATGAATGAAGAAAATATCAAAATAAAAAAAAATGTCATTTATTTTTAATTAATAAACTTACATAATAATTATATGGATTTTTTTTTTCGTTTTTAAAAAGATAGTGCAGGTTTGTGAAGAAAGTATTGCGAACGATCGAATCTGTGAAAAGTGGTTTGAGAAGTTTCAATTGTCAGAACAGAAGATGCATAATTGTCAGCAAGAGAAACACCCACTCCAAGATGAGAACCAAAATTAAGCACGTACGAAAATTTAATGATATGGGAAATGTTAAGAAAGGACGAAAAGCGACAAAGTAATCCGAAAGCGGGTTTAAATAGCAAATGTGCCTTCCAGAAACTAAGCAAAGCATTAAGAAATAGGAAAATTTCGCTAGAAAATAAAAAAAGAACCCTAAACTGTGATGTAAGCCTCTATGTCACATAATTCGGGATAGCCTCCTTATAGATTAAAAGAGATTAGAGTCAACAAATTTGATAGCTGATAGACATAATAGAGATGCTGGTTTTGATTGGCTGAACCGAACATGGGAATGTTAGAGACATAGAAAGTGGTTCCAGGAAATTAAGTTTTACGTGCCGAAGAATGCAGACGTGTTAAATTCTTGTGTGGACACTGCTCCCCAATGAGGTGAGATAGCAACTCAACTGGCTAGTTAGAAAATGCACACGTTGACGTGTTTAATAAAATAAGTTTTAAATCCTTTTTGTTGAAGTTCTCATTTTACGTCCGAAAAAAAAAAACAGCGATCACCCGGCCGAGACAAGACGGGCTACAGGGACGAAAGCAGCTTCGATATGGAATTGACCCCGTCAACCAAAATTCGTCTCCAGAACGAAGGGTGTATAAAACATTTTGCTTATTTGGCGCAGTGCCTAGGACCCCTTAGCATGGAGGGACGTCGAATGAAATTTCAAACACAACGTGGAAAAGTTCGGAGATTTTTGACGGGGTACTCAAAAATGGAAAAAAAAAAAAAAGGTAAGAAAAAAGTCGTCTAGACATATTGGATATTCTGTAAGTACGATGATATTACTTTGTTCTACTGTCAAACACACACACACACATACATACACATACACACACAGATCGAAAGAAACATTGACAGCATTTTTTGAGTGATAGACAATAGAAAAAAGTATTTTAGTAAGAGACTGTTTTTGTTTGTTTTGTCTTTTTACAAGAGTTTAGACCATGTGTGGAAATTTATTGTTTGATTTTGATTGACACTTTTAATGTTTTTGGGTGCATCCAAATTTTATATGTCTGGCAACCTTTTGTTCATGTGGACGCCATTGCGTATGAAAGCAATGGATTTTTTTTTGCAAAAGAAAGATTGACGGCATTTTGTGATGGCGCATTCCCACTGTGATTTCTGTGGACTGTTAATGACTATGGTTTTGCGTGCATTCAAATGTTTTAAGTTTAGAATTATTTTTATTAATAGTAATTAACTGAAAATGATTGTTTGTTTTTCATTTTTGTAAATGAATGTGGAATTTATTATTTTTATTTTAAGAGCCGTGTATGTCATTTTGTCTTCATTGGTTGGTTAATTTATTAACTGGTGAATTTTGAGAATTAATTTTTAGTGGAAAAAATAATTTAGCTAATTGTTGTAGGAATAACTAGATTCGGCTTGCATTGTTACGGATTTCCGGATGTGTTTGGGGTTCTGTGTCGTGGGGTGGAAATGGTTGCATCTAGCTATGCAGTTAGGGACCCGATGATTTATGGGAGTAGAATGGGGACCTGCGCACCATGAAGTATTTATATCGAATGAATATACCCTATGATGCACACAGAGCCAAGTTTTGGGTGCCCTGATGACCTTTTGGAATTGGTCAAGTGGCTTGTAGGATGCCGATTTGAGAAAGCGACTAAGAGATGAAAGACCCTTGTAACCACAGTAGAGCCAGCAATGGATTAGTTAGGAGATGCTGAATGGGTGTGTTTTCCTCTCGTGGTGGGGGAGGGGTTTCAGCCAAGGGTAGGAGGAGATGGATATGTTGCGAGCTGAGTTTTGAGGACTTCATCGAAGTAATTTTTTCTATAAATTTCGTCCGATGATGCGCTTATTGACGAAACACGTCACACGAAAAGTTTTTTCCACTTTGTCATATCTAAAATAAATTAATTTTGCAAACTATAATATTATAAATAAAAATTACATTATAAAACAATTTATCAACAAGAAATGACATTTACTCACTTTTGCTTATTAGACATTAAATTGCATCTCATACGCATCCGCCATAATTTGCCTTGACTTACAATTCGCCTTAAGTCTATTTATGAGGGTTTAAAATAATACTCACATTTCCCTTGATTTATTTGTTTGTTTGTTTAACGGTATATCAACTCCTTACGAGTGATTTAGTGCCGAAATAGAATTTTCTTGGGAGCTTTGAAGTAATAAAATATGATGTATGTTATTCTGCTTTCGCAATTGAATACATGGTAGATGATACTCAGCTTTGTGCATATAGATGCTTGTGTGGACATAATTCCTTGAGATGGTATGTGTGTTTTATGAAGTAAAATTATTGAAGTTATATTTTGGAATAGTTTGATTTCTTAAAGGATATATGGATGAATGTTCTGAGAGTACTTTCATGTTGCGTTTTTGGTTGATTTTGTTTACCGGTATATCAGTCTGTATGGGTTAATTCATGCCGAAATGTAAAGAATTTGATCACAATTTTGAATACAAATAATTGCTAGTATTTTTAGCATAAAAATGTATTTTTATACTTTCATCGAGTTTTGATTTACGACTACAATATTTGTCCATAGCTGGGTCCATACGACAAAGGGTCAAGTTAGATCCGAGAACAACAGAAATTAAGAGGCGGATGTACGCTTCTCAAAACCAACACTCTCTCAATCAGAAGCGTGCAGGTTGATGTAGTTTATGGTCATACACAGGACGACTGATCATGAGACCCGTGTACGAATCTGATCATGTCTAATTTGTCAATCAGGTGATTTCTCATTAAACATGGCCTGTAGAGATGGTCTCAATTTGCGGCAAGGTTAACCATATTACAGGTCAAACCAAGTCTTGTGAGTAAAAATGAGTAGACTATACGTTATGGTCCGGTTCCTTGTACCACGGTGATAGTCCAAGATAGAACCAATAAAGATGAACTCGAACACAGATATGGAATAACACAGATATTATTACAAACAGGAATATATACAGAGAAGTAGAAGTGTTAGTATGAACAATCAGGTTTAGTAGAGAGAACAATGTAGTCTCGACCAGTATCACTATTCCAATGTCTTGCAGTAATTGTCTGAACGCGACTCTGTTTCGGACTGCCTCTGACTCGACACTTGACTCGACTTGAACTACGGACTCGACTTGAACTACTGACGATATTCAGTAACCCCACCACGAGGGCATCATGTTGCACAAGGCCGGTTTAACATGGGGTTCAGGGTTACCTCCCCGAAAGAGAATCCGCCCTTCGGCGTAGCCTCTTTCGGGTTCCTCCCCGCCCGAAGGCAGAGAGTTCAACCGATCAGCCGGTCAATGCTTGAACGACTGACGATGTTCAGT